AGTCAGTGGCTCTTAGGTCAAACTCCTATTCAGATCATCCCACTTGTTTGCATTGTGTTCCCTCTAATATTTTCTGTCTTTGAGTACATAAGTTGGGTTCCACATGCATTGTTTTGGAGGTGAAGCAGGGGCCTGACACTGCTGTCACCCTTCCTGGCTCCAGAGCAGCAGGACCCCTTCCCTGTGCCCAACCCAGTCCCAGGGCTGGCCTGGGGTGGTGGTTCTGAGCTGAGTGTCTGCTCTAGGAGGGAGGAGATACTCGCAGCAGTGCACCAATGCAAACACTTTGTCACTGGTGCTTTGGCTCCATTTTCAAGTCACAGTTTTTGCTCTGTTACAGACAAGGATCTGGGCTTAGGATACTTGAGCCCCTTCTCTGTTTACTCAGGGTACGAGAGTGTCAGGGCAGAAAGCACCTCCTGGTTTGGAAAACGTGGGCAGTGCAGCTGAAGGTCAGTGATGAAGAAGGAACATCATCCGCTCTGAGGCATTGCAGGAGAGGCTGTCTCCTGTTATTTAAAATCCACTGCCTTTCTTATGCAAAGCATATAGTGACAGTCACAGGAAGTGTCATTAACCTTTCTCTCATTTGGGGACGAACTGTTTGACTGCACTAAAATTATTATGAATGATATACCGGGTATAAAACAGGAATGCTAATTGGAAATTAAGCCAGAAGAGAGGTGTCTGAGGGACAGAGCAAAAAGTGGTGCTGGCATATGTCTCATTCTCTGTGCAAAGCAGGACAAAGGAGAATGACAGAGGGCAAAGCTGAAGCCATGAAGAATTGCTGTGGGTTTAATGTGTTTGCTTTCAGCAACCCTACCTTGCTGGCAGAGACCCTGCTCCTATGCCCCCAGTGCCAAACTTCCATGAAATGAAAATTCTGCTGTGATGGAAAATATTATTGCTGGCTTTTTCTGGCTGTCCTTTGTTCTGTTTAATTTTCTTCCCTAAGAGTGTTATAAAATACTTAAATATCCTATATTGTCTATGCTGACTCTTTAGCAGGGAAAGAGCAATGTGCTCATGCCTTGGGACTTTGGATGTTACCAGATGAATGGGTAGAAACAAATTCAAGTTAGATGGATGGCAGTTTTGAAAATCCTCTCTTGGACTGTGCTACTCTGAGTTGTTTGGTGTCCACTGGAGAAAATGCAGTTTCGTGTCAAAACTGTGTCTTTCTCATCAAAAGATCAAAAAGAGAGTTAATCTTCTGTCCTCTTGTGATTGTGTCTGTGTGTGTAGTACTCTCCTGTGGGGTGCTGAGCTGTGATTTTGTCCTAGGCTGTTTATTTCTAGATCAGAAAGTGGCTGTTGGTTCTGAATTTGAGATTTTTTAAATCAGGCCCCCAGACATATAGAGCTATCTTCTTATTATCTTTTTACATGACACAAAGCCACTCAAAGGAAAGCTGAAAGCTATACTCTGCAAAATAACTATTTTATTTTGCTGCTTTAGTTAGTAATATTCAGAATTACTGAAACTGGGTTTAATATTTATTTTCTTTTTTGTGTGTGTTTTTTGGTGGTTTTTTTTGTTTTGTTTTTTTGGGGTTCTATTTGTTTGTTCCCAGTTCTGGGGTAAAGGGCAGACACAGCCTGTCCCCCCACATCTGACTCTGTCCCTTAATCCAAAGAAAAATTCATCCAGTACAATGTTCATGTTGTGATAAAAATGAAACCACAGTCTATGCCAGAATACTTTTGGAGATTGAAACAAATAGAAGAAATATTTTTATTTGTTGTGGACTACAAGAGAAAAAACTTGTGCAGGTTCCCTGTGCTGGGGACGTGCTCTGGGGTGGGTGGGATACCCTTTGCTCTTGGATGTATTTAGTACGAGGGGAGCCCATGGATGGGATTCAGATTTTGTAACCCTCGTGCAAGGAATAAATTTTTGTCTTAAATAGGATTGTAACACTCATGTTTGAAAATAATTGTGTGAAGCCAGCACAGGTGACTTTTCTTCCTAAAGCCATATAAATCTCTGTGACACTCTTTTGTCACATCTAGTGGGCTCAGGGAGGGAATTCTGAAGGAACTGAACTCAATATATAAATAAAAATGGGGGAGGGGGCGGGAAATGGAGTAAAACACTCTTCTGTGCCTCTGTCACAGAAGTTCAAAATTTAGTTAAGTTTTCGATGTTTTGTTTTTTGGGTTTTTTTTTGAAAGTTTAATCTGAGTAGTTATGTAGCAACATTGACTACAGTGCTAAATTCAGCCTGCAATATACTGAAAAATATATTAATAATGGTACAGAGTCTTAAATGCTCTAACATTATTCTCCTATTGCACTGGCTTTAAACACACTTTTCAAGGGAACAACAACTTAATTAAAATCACTAAGCAAGTGCAGATTATATTTAATTTAAACATTTATTGACTTTGTTTAAGTGTTCAAAATACATTAGACTTTGAACAGCGAAACCGCTAATATCTGAATGATAATTTTACTTCTGAGCCAAATAAAGAAGCTAGTCAGGAATACAGCTAAGAATTTGCTGTCTCCTGAGTCTTCTGAGTTTGAACCTTCTGGAAGCCTGTTTGGCAGTGTCTCACATTTTTCAGTGTGGCAAAAAGTGCTCCTGAGATTGACAGGCTCTTTGTGCATTTCATATGGATGTTTCAACTAGCCTTACAGTCTTCCCTTGGTTTGTTCTCTGTATTGTGAAGTCTGTGAGAGCTGCAAGATCTTTTCTGCTCCCTCTTTATACTGCTATGAAGCATTATGTAAATTGTTTTAGATTGTGTTTCCTGTCTAATTGTACATGTCTATTTAAGTTGGAATAAAGCATGTGTTTAATTTTTTCTTGGCCTCATTACATTTCATTCCTTCCTTCACACATTGCCTGTCCTGTTAGTCCATAAATCTGCTCTATCCTAATCGCTGTAAATTCTCTCTTTCACCTAGCTGTGTGTCACCAGTAACACTAGTCATTTTGGAAATTGCTTTCCTGAGAGGTTATTTTACAAAAGATAAAGGAAGAGGTACTGTGCAGTGTGTAAAGCTGGGGGTTTCTCACTCCTTCAAGGCTCAGAGCAGCTGCTGCAGTCTGTCCTCTGCTCATAGGTTCATCTCAGCAGCTGTCACATGCTGGGAGAGTCATCAACATGAGTGCCTTGGGCCTCAGACTGTAGCATAGCAAAGTCTTCCTTGGGGTTTGTCATCTGTATGCAGAATAAATTGCACCATGTTGGGTGGCCTGGTAAAGAAGAGTTACCAGTTCAGAGTCACTTTTGTTGCAAGAAGGATTTTTCAAAGACAGAAATTTTGTGGTACTTGAAAAAAGACAGTGATGCAGAGCCAAGAACCTGCAGTGGATGGTCCATTACAGGATCCCCTTATACACAAACACATTGTGCAAAGCTGTGCACAATCTCCTGCTTGGCTTCCTCTCCCTTTGGAGAGCACTGATAGGCTGATATTTGGTATATTGATATGCTGGTAGGTCTGTGGGTTAGCTGTGATCAGTTATATCAGTAATTTCCCACTTTCCATGCTTACAGATGTGAGTGCTTCACCTAAGCTCTTGCTTCCCTGCTCACCCTGCTTTGGGGCTGGTTTAGTGGGGCAGACACTGCTGCAGCCAACACACATCTGCTCAGGGCCTTCCTTGTGCTGCTGCTGATTTTCCTGCTCCTTCCCCCTCTTGTTTAGCACTTCTGTGCTCTGCCACATATCACAGCAGACTCCTGGGAAGAGATTTTGACTTTCTTGGATTCCTGGACAGCCTCTGCCTGGAGGCTTCCCTGGGGCTGCTTCAGGCTCTGGGGTCTGTGTGAGGGTGTAGGGTGCATTGGGGAGTTTTGCCTTTTTTTTTTTTTTCTCTTGGGCTGTGCAGTCAGGATGTTTTGGAGCAAGAGCCGTTCAGCTCCTCAGAGTGTCAGGCTTTTCCCTGGCTGGGCTCCTGTGCTGGATGACTCCCCTTGCCCGTGATGCTGTGTTCCATGATATGTGTAGTGGTTCATGGCCACAATTCATCTTGCAGAAGGATGCCATCCACTGTCTTGGATAAATGAGTTTAAGATTCATGAATAAGAAGAACCTGACAAAATTTAAATACTAGTATTTATTTTTTCTGAATCCCTCCACCTTGTTTTTTATTTCCTTTGGATATTTCACAAATCAGGGAGAATAAGTAGGGATGGGAACATGCCAATTTTTGGTTGGATTACTGAATGGTAGTTTCCAAAGCCATGTGACACTACTACAGCAAAATTCCATTAGGATGCTTCATAGAGATTTTAATTGATTCATGTATCTATTTGATTTTGTGAGGTTTAGTAGCTTTTAAATTATCTTTTGAATGTTTCTGGGTTTTAAATGACTCATATTACTTGTCTTTCTAGCCCAGGGCTGCTGCAACATCATGTGGCATGCTCTACTGGCTTTTTTCCACTGGTGACTGCTGAAGGTATAAATTCTCCCCATTGCACAGAAATATGCCAGTGTATTCCCTTCTGCTAATTTTTCAAATGTGCTGCTTTAGTTAACAAAGCTAATGCTTAGGGATCTGATTGCTGAAAAGCTCTGGTGACAGATTAAACCTTCCTGTATGGAGCTGGCTTGTTGTGTTTGCAGAGGAACTGTTCAAACCAGTGCAAATTTGCATCAGTGGAACCCAGAGAAGAAATTCAGTGATAAACCAGATTAAATAAACAAGTGAAGTAGAGGTGGGGAGAGTGGTGTGAGCTCTTGCTGGTATTTGCATGATGAAAGCTGCTTACACTTGAATATGTTAATTATGGGCAATTTTTCCTTGGTGTTGTGAGGTTTGAATTATTCAGAACTATGTTTAATGATAAAATGCTAAAACCAGAACAAATTCTGAGCAAGCCACAGCTGGCCAACCTGTCCAATTAATGGGATTTTTTCTAATAGACTAATTTAACTGGGACATTTCAAACATACTCTAGAAAAGCAAAAAGCATTTAAATTTCAAGGATAAACATTGTTTTTCATTCATCTCTATCTCTCCATCTCTCTTTCCCAGAGGTTTCCCCAGCATGTTCAGCCCAGTGTCATCCCCAGGCTCAGAGTGCTTTGAGAAGAGCCCACTGAAATCCTGCTAGGAGGGGCCTGAGCCACAGGCAGAACAAACCTGCCCAGCTCATCACCAAACCTCCTTTGGAGCAGCTGCCAGAGGGGCTGAATTCCCTGTTTCCTGCTGTACTGCCCAGATCCTGTTCCATGTGGGCAAGGCTTGTTTACACCCGTGTCCCCGTGGTTCCGCGTGAGATCCTCACCCTGTGCATCCATGGCCTCTCCCTTCTCCTGTCCCAGCTAGCAGCGCGCCATCACCACCCACCAGATGTGCAAGTGGCTGCAAAGAGCTCCCTTCCCTGAGCACAGGTGCTCTCTTTCAAGAAAAAAGTAAGTGTTGCTCAGCAAGAGCTGTGCAAATGTATAACTGTGTGTTCAAACCAAGAAACTGCTGCTCCTTGAGGGCAGGCAAGGGGAACAGGGCACTCCGGAATTCTGGCAGTGGCTAGGTTGGGAAAGTGCCAGTTCCAGCACACTGCTCCTAATTTGCCTGGCAAGGCAGCTCTCCCAGATGAAGTGAGATGTGGTAAGCCAAAATTCTCTTCAGGAAGCTTTATTTGGTTTAAAATGCTTTGTTATCAAATACTGCTTCTGACTTCTTCTAACTTTTGACTAGGCCCAGTTCACCTCTGATTTATTTTAAATTCAGTGGTACTTTACACAAAGTGTTCTCATCAGCCAAGCCACTGCTGGATTTGTACACAGAGTAGTTTAGTGTTCGTCTGTCTCATTTCTTTACTGTCCAAGATGAATCTCAGGAGACTGAAGCTCTGAACCAAGTGGCTTCAGGCTATTCATCTGGAAGACAGAGCCACTTAGACCTTTGTAAAGAAAACAATTTAGTAATCAATGCAAGAGGCCAGTCTCTAAGCTAACCCGTTTGGAAAAATTGCCAGTGCAGTAACTACAGATATTTTATGACAATAATACTGATTATGTCCTTCCATTATTGCCATAATTTTTTCTTCTCTGCAACTTCAGGACTGAGTTGGTTTTGCACCAACTTCTATGATCCTGTGCATTAGAAATACTTTGTAATTTGAGATTGATGCTGCAGAGCTGGACACTGAGCTGCTGATCAATGCAGGTGAAGCCACTGGCAAGTGAGGATGATGCTGCTGCCTCCCCAGCCCTGTCCATCCTCCCTCAGGAGCAGGGAAGGACCCTGATTTCTGCTGTCTTGTACAAAGGGGAAGAAGGGGCCAGTTAAAGGTGTATTTGCCTGCACCCTCTGCCTGCCAGCCCATACAATCCACAGCACACCCCAGGCTTCAGATATCTCTGGGATGAAATGGCACTGGTGTCCTACCCTGCCCTACAGGTGTGCCAATTCAGGGCATTCTCACCCAAACACAGAAGGCTAGCACTCTCTTGTACACTTCTGCTAATTAGATATGTGTGGTGAGTCTTAGAACTTCTATCTAATCTCAGACTTCAGGCCCTTATCTTGGAGGTTTTCCTTATTCTCTTTGCAAATGAGCAGATACTTCTGGTCCTGAACACATTTAGCAGTGTTGTTTCTGTACCTTCCAGCCAGGAAGGATGTCCTACAGTGGTGGATTTCAGCTAAATACAAAAGATACTGCTTTCCATTTTGAAAAACCTTTCTGGCAAACATAAAGTTTGGGGTGAAACAGAGCATAAAATAAAGCGAAGGGGAGACCAGTCTGTAGATATAGTGTTAATCCAAGATTTTGGTTTTTAGTTTTGCTTTTGTTTTGATTGCCCGTGGTTTATAATATTTTGAGAGTATGAGGATTAGGGTAAAGGATCTGGTTTCTCTACCTGTGCTAGTGAGATACTCAGTGCTCCCTGTCAAGAGTTACATGTCATTTAGGGAAAATTCCTGCAGAGGTGTGCTATCCTGGCTTTTTTGCTTTTGGCTGCTACACGGAAAAGATGTGGAGCAAAACTTCCCACTAAGTGGGAGCAGGAGGACAGGTAACATGTATCCATTTCAAACCCAGGGAATCTCCAGGCGCCACTTTCTCCAGCTGTTCACAGCAAGGCAGTCCAGACTCAGCACACAGATCAAATCTACTGCATTGCCGTCTTGGTTTCATGTGGTAAAGGTTACTGCCAAGTTCAATTAAATACATGGAAAAATAAAGGAGGAGCAGAAGTGATGTGCCTTGAGGCACAGAAGCCTCTATGGTGCGTCTCACAGGCTTGATTACATTGCTGGCAACTATTTTCAACATTGTTTTTGAGCGATGTTAGTAAGGATGGAGCAGAAAGAAAATAATTCTAAATTGATGTGCCCTAAAGGCTCATCTAGAAGATTTTCACTAGCTTCATAAAAGCTCTGTACACTTAATCTAAAAGAATATAGCAAAATTATTTATCTCCTTTGCATGGTCTTGTCTTTCATCCTCTTGATCTTTGTTATACTATCCTTGTCCCTTAAAATTCAATGAAGTGTTTTGAAGTTTACATACTATAAAATCAGTAGTTATGGATCTTGGAGGATGTTTTGAGCAGCACTTTAGTGGAAAGACAAGGTCTGCACACAAGGTCAAGAGTCCAGGGATGTCTTACTGGTGACTGGAGACTTGTGCAGTCTCAGACTGCTGCAGCACATCCTCCTCTGATGGGTGGAAATGATTTGTTGGACTTTGACCAAAAATTAATGATAAAATAACTTTCTGATGGGGAGACAGAAAAGATTTAACATCACCAACCAATTATTGCTTGTGGATTTTAACAGTGAAGAGTTGTACTTTTGGAGAGGGTAACTATTCCCACAAAAAATCCGTGGTTGCTGTCCAGCACTAAAAACACCGCAAAGAACAATGCAAGCTGTTTCTGGGGGAAGCATTTCTCAGTGACAGCTGCTGAAGAATTGCTTTGTGCTTTTCTCAGGAAAGAAAACACCCGTGTGCTCCACATGATCATGCAGAGGATTCACTGCTTGCCCTGCTGAGCACTTGGTGGGTAGAGATGGGGATGTTCTACTGTCAGTGTTCAGAGACCTGGAGGAGGAGAAGCCAGCTCCAACTGGATTTTATACAGAGCTATTTGTTTCCAAAAGTGCCAGCAGATTTAAATGACTGCTGCAGTTATCAACAAGTTCCCTCTGCATATTCTGTAATGATTAAGGTCCTTAGAGGTTTTGGACTGCTTATGTTTCTCAGTGTAGCTGCAGATTGTGAATATAAGGGTTGCATCAAGTGATTTAAATAATGAATTGAAAGGCAGAGATTCCTTTCCTTCTGTGCACTTTAGGTAGGAACATTCCTGCTGATTCCACATTTGAATCACAGAATTGTCCAAGCTGGAAGGGACCCACAAGGATCATTGAGTCCAGCCCGTCAAGTGAATGGGCACACAGGGATCAAACCCTGCCCTTGGTGTTATTAGCATCAGGCTCTGACCAAGTGAGATGTTCCTCTGTCCTCTTGCTGCTGAAAAGGACAACATGGTCAGGTAGCTAGATGTTAACTCAAAATTTGTCAGTTTTTGCACTTGACACACAGTTGCTCTCAGAAACGGCTGGTGCCTTGCTGCTACCAGCACCAGAGTGTTTTGTTTAATGATTTAATCAACATGTTATTCTATTAGGAACCATTTGTGGATTTGAATACAGATTTAGGATGATGATTTTTGTAACTTAAAATAAAAACGTAATTTCTTCAAATTCCAAACTCCAAATTCCATGGTGAGACAACCCATGTCCTGTTCCTGATTTGCTCTGAAGCCAAGTCTCAGCAGGTTGTGAACCTTGTCTGAGCAGTGCAGGGCAGTGGCTTTGCAATTATTGGATGAAGTCATTCAGAGCATCAGGAAGGTAGATTGATAGTAGGCCCAGTGGTTACAGAGCTTTATTTCTGAATAAGAGACAAAAGTTTGAGTCCTTCTGCTCCATTACAAAGACTGTTGCTTTTTACGCTGAGCAAAGATGTGCTTGTTTTTTTGTTCCCCCTCTGGAATGAATTGAAACTCTTTAATGCTGATTGAATTAAAAGCTTCTTCTCCATGTATTTTTATGATATTGCAAGAAGCCTTATCTGATATATTCCAGAAGAATTTATCTTCTGCTGTTCTTGATTCTAGCTGGTACTAGACACTTCAACAGATCCAGTATATTCAGCTTTTTTGGGCAATATCAAAAGGTACATTTAGCATTATTGACCTTTGATTTGGAGTGGATGTGGGTTAGGTTATATCTTACATTTTCTTTAGAAAAGGATTGCAATCTTTTCTTTTTGCAAAAATTCAGTTGCAACAAAGTGAAAGTCAGCTTTTCATGTGACATGACCTTTTATTACTTGGACTTCCTTCTAACCTTGTCCTCAGTGATTTTATATGGCCACAATTTCATTGTGCTTACAGTGCATGGGACCAAACCCAGGACCATTATGCTTATTCTGAAGACCTTGAGAGCAAGCTTGCTTTGCAAGATACTCAAGAGTGTTAACAGTTGGTTACTAATCCTGCATGTACAGTTGAAGTATTAATTTAGCTGCTAGACTGCCCTAAAGCTTCAGCATTAATCAGGAGTTAATCAGCAATCCTGTCTTTCACAAACTTTTGTAAGTTTACAGAATTATAGAGCTTTCTCTTGCAAATAAATTTATTGATCTTGTTAACAAGGAAAACAAGAAGCTTAAAGCTGACAAAAATGTAGTGCTCTTGCTTGGATTTTGATTTTATTTTTCATTTCTAGTGTCTGATCATAGCATGCTTCCTCAGTTTGCAGGCAAGGAAATGAATGAATCTCATCCACAACACCAGATTTTCCCCAACCTCTGCTGGGGATACTGGGTATTCTTAGACAGTCATGTTCCTTATATTCTTTCTTTTCTCCCTAGTATCTTCCTGATTAGGAGTGTCCAATTGCCTCTTAATTGGCTTGTTTCTTTTAATTAACCATCTCTCCTTCTGAACGGCTGTCAGTGCTGACCTGCTTTCTCTGCTGGAGATGCATATTGTTGTAACTCGTATGAGACAAGCTGTTTAAAAAAAAAAAAATTTCTAAGTTATCTGGCTTTTAGGTATGCAGGATCTTAAATGCTGCAATTTGCTTCACAACTCCCTTTAATGAGCAGGATGGGACACCTACCTCTTTTCTTAAGCTTAGCAACTTGAATCTATTCCATATGGACAGCAATGTAAGTATTTTTTTCTAATGTGTACTTTTGTGTGCTGATATTAACACTTCCTGGGTAGGTCAATTATTGTAAATGCAGGTTAACCTGGTGGGAAGAAATGGTGATGACTGACTCCAGTTCAGAAGGCTGAATGACTTCTTTATTATAACTATACTATAATACACTAATATACCATTTACAGGAGATACTAAAACTACATACCTACTTTTTCTAACTACC